GCCACCGCGGTGGGAAGGTAAAAAAGAGTCCTCGTCGCCGTCGACTACCGGTGCCTCTAGCGGGAAGGAGGAAGAAGGAGGGGGGATGGAGGCGTGTCGGCGGCACAGCCAGCGGCGGTGGGGGGCAAACAGGGCACGGAGACACGCAGCGGCAGCGGCAGGCACGGCGCACGAACTCAACGTGAGCCGCGGTGGTTTAGCCCCAAAGAAAAACAAAAAGAAGCAAAATTAAAGCATTTAAAAAGAGGTGTAAGCCCAGAAGGACTCAGGGAAACAAACAAACAAAAGATAAAACAAAGTTACTTCGGCAGGGGTTCCTTTATGCGTGTCCAGAAGCACAAGAGGACAGTGAGCGTGTATATGCACCGCCCGCACTAAGAAAATTAAAAAAAACTGCTCAAGCTCGCACACGCACCCACCCACACACACACGCGGTGGCGGCCTCGTGGCTGTGCGCCCCGCACGGACTGGCCAAGCGAGGCACGCGGCCGCCGCCACCGCGTGTGTAGGCCGGTGGGTGACAGCAGCAAACAGGAGGGGAAACTCGTCACTCGTGGAATCGTGTACAGAATGCGGCCAGAGGGGAAGGAGAAAAGGGAAACAAAAAAAAAACAGAAAAGAGAGAAGGATTGTCCCACAGGGATGGCAAGCAAACTGAGCGCACAAGGCGTACGAGCCCTCCCCGCCAGGGTGTCAGTGTGTGTGTGTATATTTGCCCTCGCCACCTACGCAGCGGCGCAGGCAAGGGCAGCCGTGAGCAGCAGCAGCAGCAGAGACGCACGCACAAACAGGGCGTTGGTGGCAGTGCTGTCCGCAGAATTTGTCACGGCTTCCTGAGTGGCACCGCCGTGTTCAGCCGTCCTTGGACGTTCCGCACCGTCTCCCTCTTGTTCACTGTCTTTTGCCGCATTCGTGTGTCCCGCGGCAACGTCAACGCCGCCTTCCACCTTGCCCGACGAACTCGTTGCAGACGGACCCTCAGCTCCAGAACCCTTGCTGCTGCTGCCGCCGCGATCCGTGCCGGCACCGTGTGCAACGGCGGCGTTCTGCGTCAACGCTTCGCCGCCGGGTCCGGCAGGGTTGACCTCCGCGCCGCCATTCTCCCCTTCAGCCGGTTTCATGCCCTCTGCGGCTGGTGGATCTTCTGTCAGCGGCGGCGCAACCACCGGTATTGGGTGGGCGTTGATGTTGGGGGGGACGTCGCACACCTCGGCGTACTTGGGGCACACAATACTCCCGCTCCAGTGCTCCCCTTCGGGCTTAACGGTTTGGCCCTCCTCGCACTCGTGCCACGTTGCGTCGCCATGGAACTGCACCTTCAGCTTGCCGCCGTCGCACTGAGTGTTCACGCACACATCGCCAATGGGGGTTCCACTCCACTTAAGGTCATTCCCTTTCACGCAGCGGGAGTTGGGG